AGACCATATATCAAAAAGTATGACTACAATGTAGTTTGATTGTCTAGAAATACTGTTTCTGGTCATATATGAGTTCATTTGACTGTATTTCAATACACATAGATTACAAGATGAGGGAGTGCTGTCTTAATCATTATAAAGGGAGCACCACCACTGTGCTTGGCAGGAATGTTGAACAGAAGTGTTTGTCCGTATGTTGTTCAATGCTTTATCAAGCTGTGCATCAGGACAGACAGTCAACAAGACGGGGAGCTTTATGTGAGCAGGCATAGTAACTTCAAAGCTCGTAAAAAGCCCATTACTAGTGTTCCATGCAACCCTCTGTGCTCAGCTACAAGCATTCAACTGAGAAAAGCTGGTGAGACTGATTCAGAGTCTGAGACACTCTGTGTGGCAGAGCAGCAAGATCATCACAACAACCCACACCTTGAGTATCCAGACACAGAGAGAAACTCTGGTGTCAGCAAATGTCTCCCGCCTCCACAAAAAGACCTCGCAAGAAAATGCCCCTGAGAAAATGTCTGACTTGTACTGTGAAGATTTCACATAATGAAAAGTTGGGAGCCCGGTTCAATTTTGCTTAAATATGTCTTAGGGATCTGAGAGCTAGCAGATCTAATATGGAAGTCACTGTCGGGATTTGACAGAGTCATAGTGTAATGCTGAGGGCTAAACATAGGGAGCTCAAAAGCTGGGGCCATGGATGTGTGCTCTGCTGCTCAAAACCACTCTCCTATTTTTATATTGGAAAGTCTATTGATGGAGCTGCAGCAGAGTTAGATCAGAGGAAGTGAGTTTTAACCCTTCAGACTGAATTATCAAGTAAAGTGTAAAAGCAAGGTATGCACAATCATGTAAAGGCAAAATTCAAACACACATGATACACAATAAATTAGCTTTTCATTGTGACTGTAAAAAATGAATAAATATATCAATTGAGGCATCAAATTTGTGATATATCTTTCCATGGATCGTATGACGGTTTCCCCCTGTGAGAAACAGAGAGTAGGAATTTGGAAATGAGTGTGAAAGAGAAGGCCGGACTGAAACACTGCAGGACTTCTCTCCCACTAAATGAGAAAATAAGAGGGTTGTAATTTTCTGTAAATTGCCATCTCACTTCATGTCAGTGGATTAAGAAATTAATGAAAAGCGGCAAGTCAATCTGACACTTTTAAATTAAGAAGAGAGTATCCAAATGACAGAATTAAAATGGGGGAGAATGAAAGTAGAGGATAAATAATTGGCTGGGGGGGAAATTCTGACAGAAAGAGAAGTGGAAAACATGGCAGCTGAGGAGAAGAGAGTGGAAACAGAGTAAGCAGCGGACGCTCCAGGCAATGCCATCTGTGGGTGGATCTGCAAAAGGCTGCATGCCACACACCTGTGTGGAACTGCCTGGGAGATAAGGCCCCGAGCACAATGGCCCTGTGGCCACCTGTGCTGCCAAACAGGTGCACAGCCCAGCCAATTAAACTATTAGACAAACACAGGCCTCTGGGAGCAAATTAGCAGGCTGCCCAAACATCACAGGAAAAACAAAAAGCAATGCTAAGCAGTAACTGGGAAAGAACATTTGATGTGAGACTTTCATTTCTGTGTGCAGAATTAAGTTGAATGTTCCACTAAACAAAGTGCTGGTTTTGATTCCATTATCACATAAATGTCAAAAATATCTCCAGTGTTTAAACACAGACCACCAAATTAGTTACTTGATATAAAAAGTATGAATAAATGTAAAATTGCTTACGGCTCAGGGCTATATTTTGCTGTTATATATCCAAATGACACTAATATTTCTTGATATAGACAAAGCAGGGCTTTAACTGGTCACACAAAAATGGTCAATTGAGTTTGAAACATTAACTGCAAGCTTAAAAATAACAACTTAAAAATATTCAAACTTCTCCTGCTTAGCTTAAGCCGTCCTACAGTACTTCTACATTGGATTTTGACAGAGATCAGATCAAATCTCTTGGTCGAGACTATTGAGAAATGGATGATGTTTTCTTTTTACTTAAATCATATACAGTTTAGGACCATCTATGCATTCCTCTGACCATTGTGGAATGATTCTTCTAAAATGGTTGATAATTCAAAACCCCAACATTATAATTCTGCTCAGTATTTTACCAAATCCTTTGAACACAGGCAAAGACAAAGTTTGTTTGGCCTTTTCCACTGTGAAATAAAATAGAAATTCACCAGCCCTCGACTATGAACTGGCACTTCTGTTGGAATGGGAGTTCATCTCAAAAAATACTGTTTAATGCTTTAAACTTCAAACAATCAGCGAGGCGTAACAAATGGCAGCATATAATGCAAGACCTTACCAGTATATCTATATTCATACATGCATATTAAGGAATGCATTTTCTAACTTCTATAGGTAGATTTGAAAGTCCCCAAAATATAAATATTCAAAAGCAAGCCAGCTGATCATCATTCTAAGGTGTAGATTAAAACAACCATGAATGCACTGCTCTGCCATCTACTTCATGGTTATTTCCGGTACATTATAACATAGCGTACAAAGGTTACATTAACGTAGTGGAGTCAGAGTAGCAGCAAACCAAATGTGGATTTCCTGTGTGTCGTGATCCATGACAATTAAGTACATTCATATTCATTAGGGGTAACCTTATCCATGCTTCAAGAAAACAATCAGTCCCTTTACCCAAGAGAGAAATAATGAGAGGCGTAAAGATGAGCAAGGGGCCGGATTTAGTCAACACTCGCACAGTCATGCTCGCCGCACACACATACACACCCACAAAGGTGGCTTTCTCCCTGCATGGACCTTGCCATCCGTAGGAGGCAACTCGTACATAAAGCACTGGTGCCTTCCATGCTGGTCCGAGATTCAGCCATTTGAAAACACCCACAGGGCAAGCCTGGCCTCACTTACGTCCCCTCGGCACCAGTTGGCCTTTCTGAGTGGAGAGGCTGACTTGACTCCCCACAGCTTGCTGGAGACTGCGGAGACTGACTTCACAGCTCTGCAATCACTCGAGGGATAACAGCATGGCTGTCCATAACACACTTGAACATTATTCATTTTAAATGTGCATCTATGATAAGCTTAGCACATTACACATCTATCTATGGTTCCTTAGTGTATGCATCACAAATGTCTCTGTGTAAGCTGACTGAGTCAAACCACCATGTCAAGCGGATGCGGCTGGTTTGATCCTTTCTTCTTCTCAACGGGAGAGGAGCGTAGCTTTGAAGGTAAATGTCCACTGTATCAAATGAGCAGCGCATTTTAGTTAGAGCACACTGCTCTTTGTGTTTTTTTTTCTTAAAATTGGTTAATTCAGGGATGCAGCGGTTAAGCTGGTGGTAGCACACAGATTAAATGAAAGGTCTTCCAGGGCCATGCTAGCAGCTCCTTCCAGGGTGAACATAAAAAAGTATTCCACTTATCCGATGACCATTTAATATGCACCATTCATTGATTCACATTAAGAAACATCTCCTCAACAGCGGGCTGGTAAATAATTTAAAGGATCTGCTGTCGCTAAGGGTTCCGTTGCAATAGTGGGACCAAATTAACATTGAACATCCTGTTTAAAGAGAGAAGGCGGAGAATTTGGGGAAAAAGTAGAGACAGGCCTTAAAAAAAAAAGAATCTGTGAGGGCTCGTAATGAAGGACTCGAGAGCCAATCAAGGCTCATCAGGGTGGATAGACAAATAAATAGACAAGAAATAGAGTAAACTGTATGAACATTATGTTCATCTTTAAGGCATTCCAGGTGCATGTAAACCGGTTTTCAGTTCATTAGGAACTCTCTATTTGGGGTCATGTCACATAAAAGAGCAACCAGGGCCACAAACATGAAATACATTTTTATAACTTTACCTTATCAGAGAAAACACATGATTTTGTAGAATCTGTCATGATTCCACTTCAAAAAATCACAAAAAACTAGTGCACATTATCTGAAAGATGACTTTCACTCTGGTCCTTCCCATCCCCCTTTTGCTAGACTGAATTGAATTCCATAATTTTCTTGCAAAGAAATAAGTGCACGGAAAATGCTATTGTGGCAAAATGATTGTGCAGTATTTCCAGTTGTCCATATCTGTTGTGTGTGTGCTAGAAGTTTGAACTTTCATACAGCAATGTCCAGAGGATAACCAACCAAACACAGTGACAGAGTGATGTTGATGTCCTCTTTTGATTTCGACGAACCTTCTCATCATTGTGCCAGTAGTAAGAGACACTCTAAAAAGCACTTTGAGCTGTGATATTTGTGGATATCACTTGGAACATTTCCAGGCACAAGGCACAGTTTGCAGTGTGTGAAGAAAGTGACTAACCTGACAGGGTTACTAGTGAGAGACACTCTGAGCGACTCCAGGCAAATGAGCAGCTTTTCCTCCGTGATGCCAGAACGCAGCTCGTGGACATATTCTTGGGATGAAAGTGTACACTCGTGCTTGCTGTTCCTGAGTCCTCCCTGAAAACAAAATACCAACAGGACAGTTATTAGATTACCATCATGAAGTAAAACACCTTGGTAATGTCTTCAAAACTAACAAGGGTAATCGGTAGCAATAGAAAGTTGTGAACACAGTTGAAGGACATCAATGTTTGATTTGATTTAGAAAGGTTACTGAACGATTGAAGACCGATAGAATCTGAAGAAACCTTAATTTTCTGTCATATTAAATGAGACCATAAAGACCATAAAGAGGACTTTGCTGCATAAGTGGCTTGTTTCCTCGGTAGCTGTCGTTGTTGAGACTTGTTTTTACTTATTATTTGGATACTCAAGAAGATGGAAAGCTGGCCAAAACGTCTGTGTCTTCAAAATAGGATGAGTGAGCGTCTAGAGATGAGTTGGCCGATTTCTCTTTCTCTCAATCAGCCAATATTCGAATGACGGTCTATACTCACAGAGAGCCAAACGCAGGCTCGACATTCTATCTGCAGCGCCTCCTGCTTAAAGTAAATGGATTCCTGTGTTTAATCTCCACACACGGCTCTAGAGAGATGCTGCTACACCAACGCTTACACAATGAGACTACCTATTGGCAGCAATACACACAATTACACCCCGACAGGGAAACGTATATCTGCACACTCACTCTCCCAGCGCACAGTGTCGTCAACATAGTACATTAGATCGCGCTAACGGAGAGAGTGAATGTATGGTCTGACACTGTTGCCATGCAGTCCATCAACCAACATGCATTTTGAGGGATACAAATGAAAGAGCTTTGGCGTGCAAATTGAATAATTGTCCTACATTAGCTCTCCTCCCAGAACAAGCTCCAAGATTAAATAGGTGTGAAATCTGTTTTTTTTTTAGGTTCTGTTGTCAAAATGAGCTACATTTCAGGTGGGGGTTGAGTCAAGGTACTTTACAAAAGAAAATGAGCAAACGCACCGCAGGAAAGGAATCGCATTTGCCTGAACCGGACTGCTAGACCAAATCATCCACACTGTGTTCATCCCTGGACTGCTGGCTCCCCACACAGCTGAGCTGTGCTAATAGGCAGTTTGGTAAGTAATAAGCTAGCTCATTTATCTGGAGAAAAGAGAGGCCTGCTGCTCTCCTGCAATGCACAGTCAACATGAAAGAACCATTTATTGTTTTGTCGTTTGTTTTTTTGTTGCAAAAAGCAGAGGCAGTCTAACAACAGCATGCTACTAATAACTCCGTGCTTTAGGTGTAAACTGAGCTCACGGTGTGATTGGCTCAGTAATAAGTGGAAGTGTTTATTTGATAAAGACGTTCTTACACCTGTAGGAGGGATTCCTACTGAAACCAATTACCAGTGGTGGCTCTTCTACAACTAGTGTCAAAATTACTTTTATTAAATGTAAGCTCACACAGTACAGTTTATCAATGAATAGGGCATGAAAACAAGGATCTACTAATGTCCTTCCACTTAATTTCACCATTTCTTTTATTATGCTTGGCTGAACCATTAGTATTTTTTCTATTATTATTATCTGCCTTGGCTTCCCACATGTTCATCTGCTCTGCTATTGCGATACGAACACTTCAGAAACAAGCGTAAAGTCTCAAACCAAGGAAAACCTTCGAGTGTGCTTTCTTTTCCAGCGTTCCAAACTATAGTTTGATTTTTCTATAAATGCATTCCTGTGTTTCTGTCTTTTCTCATCTTCATCTATACAAACACTTACGCCATTCATCTTTTTCTCAAGCACCGTTGTGTGAATGTGGAGGAGCGCGTGGCTTAGCTTTTATCCGACTGAAAGTAGCTATTAGACCAGAGGGAGATAAGAAATCCTTCTCGTTACGATCTAGATCTTTCAACTATTACCTTCCACGGGACTCTTTGTTGCACATTTTTGCCGCACGCATTTTTGATATTGACAAAGAAAATAATAAAAAAATGTTGAGACCCGACATACACTTTGTGAAAGCTCAATTAATCAGAGCAGAGACAGACATTCCAGACGCTTAACGAAACCCAAGGGTGAAATGTCAGCACTTTGAGTGTTCAAGGTTAAAGATAGACAGTGATGTAAAACTTTATAGTAAGCACAACCGTCTTATCTTTTCTGCGTGTTTAAGTACATCAATGTGCTTTGAATTCCTTGAGTGGCAGTGCTTCATTTTTGAAACAAAGTCTTGAAGTAATGTCAGTCGTGTCTGACTCACTTTTGAACATTTTCTTCAAGAATTCAAGGTAACAGGGGGAGTCATTGATATACCAATGGTCATTTTGTGGGAGAATTATTCCTTGACAGCATTTTCAATCACAGCTAAATAATCTTCACATATTTCTTTGAAAAGGATTCTCAAACAGGGTATGTGCAACAAAGGTATGCCTCCAAACGTTACTCATGGAGACTTCTAAAGAAGGTGTGTACCACACTCTGAATTAATGTCATGATGTGATAGCCTTTTTAATATGTGCAACAGATGAAATGTTTTTTCTGTTGATGAATGAACAATTCCCTACAACTGAAATTTGCTGTTCAACCTTGTGTTGTACAATAACGATAAATGATCTTTGAACCTTGAAATAAACTCATATCACCAAACATGACATACTAAGAGCCTAACCTTTATTTCAGTTAATTGTCAATATAACAGTATGCAGTGCAAAGGATTTTGGGGATCTCTGGTTGTGCCTGAACTGTATCTGGATCATTAGGCAGCTCTACAGATGTCCTGTCGAACTGCGCAAAAGTCCTTAAAACACTTTTAGTATAACAGACCTATGATCCTCGAGTGGGATTCTTCCCTATTAAGAAGAAGGTGTAAACTACAGCCTTCATTATCCAATGAGGCTAATACTCCCTGGACAAGGACCTACCAGAGGCCTTGGACCAGAACTATTCCTACAACCGATCCAATCATGCAAGTAATTCAGGATCAACATGAAGTACTTGTAAGTGTCCATTGTACTCCAAAAAGTAGAGGCGAAAAAAATAAACAACGGCAATCACACTTGCATCGCAGTCAAATCCCCAACTGTTTTCTCTGTAGCAAAGACTGGTGTTTTGAAATGCACTGCTGTCTGCATTGGATCGGTTTCGATGAATAACAAATGCTAAAACAACACAGTTGGGTCGACAGTAGAGAGGTATTATGTCTCCACCGTGCTGCATAAAGTTTCAAAGATAATGGCCGGTGATGTGTATTAAAGCCACAGTGCTGGGTTTCATGCAAGTCTGAAGACCAATCACCCGCCATTTGGCCGAGGCGGCTTCGTCTAGGACAGCTTGCAAGCGTGAGTAAGAACTCGGGTTCAAATTGAACTGAAACTTTAGACATTATGGATAAAACTTTAACTGTAAATATATGCAGTTTTGACTAAGTAATCAGGCCTACGCAACACAAATGTTGACCCAAACATAGCAAGGGAACACACTGTATAAGAAAAAGCACTCGCAACCTCAAATGTAAATCATTGCGATTCCCTTTTTGGACGTGGCTGATTAAGAGGCTGCAGTTTCAGAACATTACTTCCAATAATACACAGGGCAGTGAGAGGAAAACACATCAGCCACTTTGTATTTATCTTCTTACTTCTCCGGAGTTCCCAGCAGGCATACCACTATGTCCAGAAAAACGAGACCTCTGGTTTCACCGCGTGCTCAGACCTCCGGAAACCAAAGACTCTGACCACGAACTGCTTTTTCATAGCCCAAATCAATGGAATCCTTTGGGATAATATCAACATTACACCACCAAACCAGCAGCAGAGAAACAATCTGAGGATTAGAGGGAGGTGGCATTACCTGCTGGCTACTGGGTAATAGAGTTTCCCCCTTCAGGCCCACAAAAATGGTCAACAGAAGAAAATGGTCAAAAAGAGGCCCTAGAGGAAGGGAGTCAGGGATGAGGGAGAGAGATGTTGTGTGTGTGGCTGGTGTGTGATGAAGTAGTAAGACGTAAAACGTGAAGGAAGCAGAGGGTGAAGGAGATGTGAGGAAAAAGTAGGGGTCAGACACAAAGACATAAAATGTGTATGGGGGAGAAAGGGCAGGGCAGAGAGATAGAGCATCAGGAGACAACCTACACAGCAGAGGACAGACACAGCCTTTTGACCACAGGCCTAAAGCCTCATCTCCTGACGCTTATTGAATCCCCTATTTGCCGATAACAGTATTTCCTGCCAAAGAAAATAGTGCTGGGAGCAATTACTTCAGTGAGCCTGTCAATTTCATTTTGGGGGGTTAGGGGAGCATTGGTGCTCACTCCCTCCCCCTGCATCACCTCTGTGTCCCTTTCTCTATGCCACGGGGAGTGACAGAGTGCTGTGCTTTCTATCGAGGGCAGGGCAGGGAGACAATGCCAAGGCGGCGGCACCTCCACATGTCATCTTCACCTGTAATGAGCCTATAACAAGCTGGCAGCTTCCTCAGTGCCCAGTGCTCGGCACACTCAGGCAGACTGATGGATACATTATTCAGCTTCTTTGTCAGCTTACTGGAAAAACCACACGGCTGCAATGTGTCTGGCCTGGAAGCCAGAGCCGGGAGATAGCTGATACAGCTACCGCTCCTTCCATTCTGTCTGCCTCGCTCTGTCTCACTCAAGACATATATATATACGCATTCTTCAGAACAATGTTTTCCCAACTCCCTTATCTCTTCCAGTGTCGCCTGATCAAGAGCTACAATTAGCAAGCGAAGCAAAGAACAGTACCGCACTCGAGTCTGTGTCAGTCATCACAGCGTGAGATTAGCACGTTACAATGATTCCGTTAGATGCCCCAGTGTGAAAATCATGACCCCACTGGACTCATTGCAGCACTTAATGCTATTTAAAGAAGAGCATAGATTCTGCAATCAGCTTATTCTGAAAGCTTATTTTAAGGAGACGCAGAAATGTCAAACCCAAGACTGCAGAACTGCGCACAGAAACAAATCCCTACAACTCCGACTAACTACTGATTCGATTATCTGAATATTACATACAGCTTTCTGAAGAGCGATGATGTTAAAGCACTGCGTGTTTCACTGTTCTGA